ATAAGTCTAAGCTAAGGCAGAGCTTTCATAATTAATAATAAGTCTCTGTATCATTATTTGGGTGCTGACTGGTGGGCCAGAGAAAGACTTGCTACATCTCATCTAAAGAAAGCCACTGAGGCAAGGCATGTGTCAGGGGTGTCCCTCAATGGAGGCCTAGTAGAGAGGTCACTGAGTGGAGCTGTGAAGTTCTTGAAGCCTAGATTGCTTTGGAGAACCCAAGATATTAGGGATGCCAGAGTCATAGGATCCCTGCCAAGGAAAGCTGCTAACAGGAAGTAGAACCAGCCAAAGAGAAAGAAGTGTATTACAGTCAACAAAGCTGCTAACAGGAAGTAGAACCAGCCAAAGAGAAAGAAGTGTATTACAGTCAACAAAGCTGCAGAGTTGGAGATCTGAAGAGTACTTTGACATCAGACATGGAGAAGCAGAGTTTAGAGTTTGCTCAGCTGAATTTTGGTCTTGCTTTTACCCAGTATTTCCTCATGTTGCTCCCTTCCATGTGTTTTGTAATGGTCTGGAAGTATGTAATCTGTTTTTTGATTTTGATTTTTACTGGGGGGATGACAGTTAAAAGACTGACATGTGCCTCACAAGAGACTTTGAACTTTTAAACAAGTTTGAGCCTATTATAGACTATGGGGACTTTGGAGTTGGACTAAATGCCTTTTTTTTTTTTTTTTTTTTGTATTACAATATGGCTATAAGCTTTGCGGGCCAAGGAGTGGGATATGGTGGTTTGAAAGGAAATGACCCCCCCAAAGGGATTGGCACTATTAGGATATATGCCCTTGTTGGAGGAAGTATGTCACTGTAGGGGGTAGGCTTTGAGATCTCTTTTGCTCATGCTTCCCTCAGTGTGACTTTCAGTTGACTTCCTGTTCCTGAGATGTAAGGACTCAACCCCAGTACCACATCTGCCTGCATGCCACCATGTTCTCTGTCATGATAATGGACTGAACTGTGGTCATGGTGTCCCGTCACAGCAGTAAAAACTCCACCTAGCACAATCTTAAACACTGACTTTCAAGCAGACACTACACAGATGCAACAATGTATTACCATACACCACACATAGATACAACAGCCTTTCACCAGACACAACACAGGTACACCACCATATTACCATAAACAACAGATACATCAACATATGACCAGAAACCAGAGACACAGCAATCTCATACCAGACACCAGATACACCAACCTTCTACTAGAAAACCACTGATAGACATCAACCTTCCACCAAACACCACCTAAGATACACAAAGCTTCTACAAGACATCACAGATACTGCAACCTTCCACCAGACAGTACCAGACTCCAACATATCAGCTTTCAACCAGACACCACACAGATACACCAAACTTCCACCAGACAGCAAACAGATATACCAAGATACTACCAGACACCACTGATACATCAATATAGTACCAAACAATACTCAACAAACTTCTACAAGAAACCACTGCAGATACAGCAACATACTCCCAGACACCAGACATACCGACCTTCTACCAGAAACCAGATGCACAAAAATTTCATTATTGCCACAGATTCACCAGTTTTCCACCAGACATTATACAAATATACCAGCCTTCCACCAAACTCTACCACAGATACACCAACCTTCAACCAGACACCACACAGTTATAACCACCTTCTACCAGACACCACCACCATACACCAATATACTACCATACACCACAGATACACCAACATACTACCAGATATCACAGATACACCAACCTTTCACCAGACACCACATAGATACATCTAGCTTCTACCAGACACCGCCACAGATACACTAACCTTCCCCCTAGACACCAGATACACCAATCTTGTATCAGACACCACAGAGGCATACCATCATATTACCACACCACACAAAGATACACTAACCTTTTCAATAGACAGAACAAAAATACATCAACCTTCTACTAGATGACATCAGAGATATGCCAACATACTACCATACATTATAGATATAACACATTACCAGACATCACAGAAACACCAACCTTCCACTAGAAACCTACCAACGTTCCACCAGAAACCAGATACATCAACCTTCCATGAGAAACCATACCAACCTTCCACCAGACACCACACAGATACACCAACATACTATTAGACGCTACACAGATACACTAACTTTCCATCAAACATCACAGTAACCAAAGGTATACCAGCCTTTCACCAGACACCACACATACACCAGCCTTCTATGAGACACAACAGATACACAAACGTTCCACCTGATACCACATACACCAACCTTCCACCAGAAACCACATATACACCAACTATTCCACCAGACACACAGAGGTGTATCACCTTCTACCAGACACCACCAGAGATACACCAACATACTTCCAGATACCAAACAGATTTATCAATCTTCCACCAGACACTATACAGATACACCAATCTTCTACCAGGCACCACAACAGATACACCAACCTTCCACCAGACACCACTATTGTTATACCAACTTTTCATGAGACACAACATTCCATCAGAAATCACAGAGATACACTATCAGGTAATATGTTCCTGAAACCACACAGATACATCAGCCTTCAACTAGACACTACAAATACACCATTCTTTCCACCAGATATATCAACCTTTTACCAGACATCACCAGAGATAAACCAACATACTACCATACAGAACAGATACACCAAGGGTCCACCAGTAACCAGATAAACCCACCTTCCATTAGACACCAAAGATTGCATGCCAACCTCACACCAGAAACTACAGAGACACACCATCTTACTACCAGACACCATACAGATACACTGGTCTTCAACCAGAAACTCCATATACCCACAACCTTTCTAGCATAAAACACAGAATATCAACCTTCTACCAGACACCACCAGAGACACACCAATATACTGGTATACACCACTAATACAGCAACATACTTCCTGACACAACACAGATATACCAACCTTCCAGAAGGCACTATAGCTACACCACACAGATACACCAACCTTCCATCAGAAACCAGATACACACACCTTCCATTAGACACCACAGATACGCCAACCTTTTCACCAGAAACCGCAGAGATACACCATCATATTATCAGACACCACAAAGATACACACACCTTCAACCACAAATTTACCAACCATTCCAGCAGACACTATGTATATGACTTTTCACCAGACACCACCAGATACTCTAACCTTATACCAGACACTACAACTTCCCACCAGAAACCACACAGATACACAAACCTTCCACTTGACACTCAACAGGTACACTAACAGCTACCAGACACCTTACAGACACCCCAACCTTCCACAGTATACCACAGAAACAGCAGTCTTCCACCAGATACTGCACAGATACCCCAGTCTTCCACAACACATCACAGACACACCAATTTTCCAACAGACAGAGATACCCCAATCTTCCACAACACACCAGTCTTCCACCAGACACTAAACAAACAGCCCAACCTTCTAAAACTACCAGAGTAGTTCATACATACATATACTAGTCTTCAACCAGACACTATACAGATACACCAACCTTCTACCAAACACCACCACAGACACACCAGCCTTCAACAACAACCCACAGATACACCATCCTTTTACCTACACTACAGACATCCCAACACACTACCACTTACTACTGATATAATAACCTTCTTCAGATACTACCACAGACATACCAATATGGTAAAAGGCCCCACAGATACAGCAATCTTCCACAAGTCACCACAGATACACCAACATACTATGAGACATGATAGATACACCAACCTTCTACCAGACAGCACATACTCTAACTTCCCCCAAACACTACCACAGATACATCAACCTTCCACCAGACACCATATAGATTACCAAAAATACTACCAGACATCATAAAGATACAAAAACCTTCCACCAGATACCACAGATATATCAACTGTCTATTCGAAACAGGAGACACACAAACCTTCTACTCTACACCCAATAGATACATTAAAACACCACCAGACACCACAGATACACCAATCTTCCACAATACATCACAGACATACCAGCCTTCCTCCAGACACTATACAGACATACCTACTTTGTACCCAACAACACACAATTAAACCAACCCACTAACAGACACCAAAAATGTACCAATCTTCCACAATACACAATTGATACACCAACCTTTTACTAGATACCACAGATACATCTGTGTTTCACCAGACACCACATAGATACACCAAGCTTCTACCAAACACAAACCTCCCATCAGAAACCATAGATATAACAACCTTCCACCAGACATCACAGACACTCCAAACTTTTACTAGACACTACTACAGATACAACATACTACCAGAGACCACAGACAAACCACCATTCCAGGAGGCACACAGACAAACCAACCTTCTACCACATACCACCTAGATACAGCATCATACTAACAGACACTACTCAGATACACCATTCTTCAACCACACACCAACAAAGATACACCAACATCCTACCACACAGCACAAATACACCAACATTCCACTAGAAAACACATATATCAACCTTCAGCCAATACCACACATACACACCAACCAACCTTCAACCAGACACCACAGAAACACTAGCATTCCTCCAGACGGCACAAAGATAAACCAAGATACTATAAGACACCATACAGATTCACTATCATCTACCAGACAACAAAGATATACCAACCTTCCACCAGACACCGCAGAAACACCAGGCATTACAGATACACCAATGTTCAGCAGACACCACACAGATACTCCAACCTTTTACTAGACAGCCCAATCTTTTGGAACTCTATCCCTCAGCCTGTTAGGAATGCCTTTGGAGTAAGTGGTTAGAGTGATGTGAAGGGCGGTGGGTGTGGTACATATAACCAGAAATTGCAGTACTTGGCTGAATTCATATTTGGGTTAAACTTGAAGAAAACATCTCAATAAATAAAAGAATTGTGTTGAATATTGTTGAAGAGAAAAAGCACCAGAGTCTAAATCATGCATCTGTAAACACAGCATTTTATTAACGAAATGTTTACACCTCTCCTGACATAAATCTTATAGTGATGGAGCATGCCATACTCTATAAAAGCATACAATACAAGTCAAGCTGAAGAAACACTGTTCCAAAGGATGCTAGATTTACCATCTGCAAACAGGTCACAAAAGAAAAATCTTACAACGAGAAGGAAAAGGTGGAGTTTCCTTTCTTCAACGTTTACAAACAAAACACAGACTTAGGCCCAGCCAAAGGTCAGACTGCAAAAATGGTCATCAAACATCCATACAGGCTTGTGAAGCCACGGCTTTTCATTCAGGCGTTTAGAGTGTTACCAGGCTTGGGAAACCAGGAACAATTCGATTTTCATACAGATGCTATTAAAAAAGGCACAGGGCGCTACTCCTTCCACTGGGTCTTGACAAGGGGTGGCACTCTCAGGAGCAGAAAGGATTGCTGGTACAGGGCTTAGGTTTTCTTTCCTTCAAACTTTGTGCAGCTGATTCTCCAGTCCACCACCCTATCACCCACAACAGATCCCATTTCGTCATTCAGTTGTGTTTGCCTTGCAGGCTCATGCTGCCTACTGCCCTTTTGAAAGTCCTGGGGGCTCTTTACCCCACAGGGAAGGGCATACCATACATGCCAAGATCGCTGGGGCAGAGTGCCTGAGGGAGAGCCCACAGAAAATGAGAGTAAGGCAAGAATTCAGTGTCGATCATAAGGAAGGCAGGCCATAATTTCTGAAGGTCAGAGCAGCGATGGATGATGGTATAAGTGACTTGTGATGTAAAATGATGGAAAGACTGAGTGGGACATTAAAAAAAAAAGATCCTTCCCAGGGCAATAAAGTTATGTCTACAGAACACAACCAATGGTTTAAAAACAGAGCCGCATCAGCTGCTGACTACCCAGCTGCCACTCATCCTCCCCCACCAATCTAACTGGTCTCTCTGACATCGTGGGGGAATGACCCAAGTTGAGAAAATTTCATGACCATGTAGTAACAACAAAAAGGGATTTGGGAGGTAGGGGCTCCATCCTTGCTTCCAAGCTTTTCCAAGGGGTGAAATGGATAATTAAAGTGTAAATGCCAAGTGCTAATGGTGGTCAAACAATGTTAAGACAAGCCCTAAAAGCAAACAGTATAATGGGAGGAGTCTGGCAGTGATCTGGAGCTGGCGAGCATGGGGAGGACTCCAGGCTGGCTGAGCAAGTAATTAAAGCCCTGCTTTGTGGAGCAGTGGATGAAGCACACACTGGGTTTTAGATGCTTTGGGGGCCTCCTTGACAATGTTATAGTTAGTTCTATGTAAAGATGAATCCCTTCAGTGGACTGCTGTCCACAACCTGCCTCTAAACACTGTCCAGTTCCTGAATCAAAAGTGGTACGAGGACAGCAGCAGATTGCCATCTCTACTGTGCCATTAAGGAGGACATTAAGACCCACGCTTGAAAACTGTCAATTAAAGAAGGCTCTAAAAAAGACATTACTGTCTTAGACTCCCCATTAATTGGGAGACAGAGCTTGGCACTTTTTAAGTCGTGTCTGTGGAGACCTACCCGGATTTTTGCTTGTTGTAATTATGCAGCATTTTGATGAGGCACTGGGCACCATAAAATGAACTCACAGCAAATTAAAACATTTTTTCCCTGCAAGTTTTTTGGACATTATGGTTTCAATCTTACTATCTACTATTTATATATTCTAATCTTGCTATCTAAAACGTTCAACATAATGAAAGGAATCGATGGAAGGTCTGAGATTCTATTTTATTAAACTTCTGAATCCTTTTGTTTTGAAGCCAAAAATATTCTAGCACATCTCTAATTGATTACCCTCTGAGAGGAAAGAACACAGATATTAGTTATTTCTGATGGTACAGACCATCAAATTAAACTTGATCTATGCTGGTGGAAGTCCTAGTTCCAGATAGTAAATCACTCCTACATGCTCGGAGCATCCTGAAGGACGAGCTGAGAAATACAGTGATTCCAAGCTCTATTCATTTGCCCTTCTCAGCATGTCTAATGAACTTCATCAGTGTAGGCCCCTAACTCATCACCTTCTGAGGTGCAGAAGGAAGGCTCCTGAGAAGGGTAATACCCTTCTAATATTTTTTAGAGCTTCATTTTCACATAAAACAGGACAAATGCCCTGGAATTCCATTAACATTTCTTGCAAATCAGATAATCAGATTGCCTGGTTTTCTATCCCTGGACAAGATCTCTGCCGTCACAGGAAATCTGTCGAGGTCATTCTTTTAAGTCTCAGGCTAAATTCTACCTGACCCTCCTTTTCCTAAACTGCACAGTGCTCTGTTTGTCTTCTAGATAATGTACTGCACAGAACATTTTTTAAACATTATGACACTTATTTGTGTGTGTGTGGTGTAGGAGGACACGTGGCGATCAGAGGACAACTTGTGGAATTGTCCTTCTACCCTGTGGGCTCCAGAGACTGGACTTGTGTCATCAGCCTTAGAAGCAAGTGCCTTTACCTGCCGAGCCATCTCGTCAACCTCATTAAAAAAAAATCAAAATCATTCATGGGTTGTCTTAAACCAACATCTTTTATCATCACCCCCCCCCCCCCCCATGAAGGCATAGTTAACAGCTTGAATCTTAAAAGTATATCCCATTTCTTCCTTAAAAACTGATAAAAATCAAACAATGAACAAAAATTGTGCTGCTTGTCCCTTCAAAATAAATTTAAGTAAGAACTTACAAGGGATTCCATGACCACTCTGCTCTCACCAGAATCAGGCTGAAGAGCCTGGTAAGTTCTGTGGTCCAAGCCACCTGTCTGGCTGCCATGCTCTGAAGCACGACTGGCCGTTAGAGAAGAGCTAAGGGTTCCCAGCTACCTTTCCCCAGGAGGATTCTCTCCTGACTCCTGCAGGGTCTTGCAGACACATGGGTGGCTAAGGGCTAGTTGCAGAGATCACATAGTATGAGGGTCCACATGTCACAGTCTCTGAATGAATGGGTGAGAAATGTTAAACGGAACCCCATTAGCCTCTTTTGCAATAGAAAAGACAGAAGGCAGCGAACTATTGCCTTTTGGGACATGGAGGCCGATGTACTGACACGCAGTGTACCCCAAACTGAACCCACCCACTCAAACATGGGAACCTTGAAATACAGCAGCAGACCCTCTGGTTTGGCAGCCCCCTGGGTGCCGGGTGACAGCAACCTACAGAACACTCTCAGCTGTATATCTTAAGAGCTTTAGAAGTCCTCAAACCCACTTTCCCCCTGGAGACAAGGAACAGATGTAAGACTTATAGGTTAAGTTCTGAAATTAAATGTGGGTCACTGCCAGCCCCCATCACATATTTAACAATCCAGAGAACAGCTAATCTTCACAACGATACTGGCCTCTTGATATAACCATGTCTCTCATAAGAAAATCTTGATCATTTGACCTGGGTAGGCATCCAAGGAAGAGGAGCACAATGAGAAGAGGTGGGCACTTCAAATATCATCATAAATGGGGAACAAGGACCCAGGTTATTTTAAAAGGAATAAATCTCCCGACTGCCATGTACAGTGCTTGTCTTGGCTGCAGCTGACAAGCAGGCAATGGAATTTCATTGGGAACCAGAAAGGCTTGCAGTAGGTATTTCTCTCCAATCACTTCTCACAGAGTTCACACTGAAGGACACTTAATCAGACTCTCACTTTATGTTCTTTTAATCACCAAATGATAGTTAATTAGTTATCACAGAATCAGAAAAACACTTATGTAAAAGAAGAGATCGAGAGACCAGTGGCTCCTAGGATTGGACACCTGCAAGGAGCTTATTTCAATTTCTCTGAAAGAAATCAATACACACTGGCAGTTAATTAAAGATCTTGCCCCTTCTGTTCAGTCTTCAAAGTTTTTAAAAATGGCCCTGCATCATTTGGAACCAAAGATTTTTTTTTTGGAGGAGCAATGTCTCAATGCCTTTGGAGTCTGGCTATTTCTCTTAAGAAACAACCAGGAAACCGGGCGGTGGTGGTGCACGCCTTTAATCCCAGCACTCGGGAGGCAGAGACAGGCAGATCTCTGTGAGTTCGAGGCCAGCCTGGTCTACAAGAGCTAGTTCCAGGACAGGAACCAAAGGCTACGGAGAAACCCTGTCTCGAAAAATCAAAAAAAAAAAAAAAAAAAAGAAACAACCAAGAGACAATGTGGTCAGAATAAAGCACTATGTCTGCCTACATTTTAATATACATTTTATAGGAAGAAAGGACATGGAGACCTCCCTGTGTTCACTGACCATGGAGTGTGGGCCCAGCTGCAATCCACTGCCATTAAGCAGTACACGACACCACAGGCAGGGCAGCCCCCTTCATTTCTTGGACAGACTGGTGACAGAGTGGGCAAGAAAGACATGAACACAGGGTCATGACCATGAGTCATGCTGCTCATTCTGTTGGGAAGACATGCAGCCATGGCCAGAGTCACTCCCTCCATGTGGCATGAGAGGGAATCAGCTAGAGAAGTCACAGGTGCCACAGGACAGCAGTCACTGCATGCCCCACGACTTCCAGAATTTACTGGACTGTTCAGATCATGAATTTATACCGTTTTTTGGTGAAATGAGACAGAAAGGGTCTCACATGGGCAGCCTCGTCCACATGAGCTGAGCAGTGCTGTTTTCTGCAGGTGTATGTCAAGTCGTATCAAGCCACTGCAGGTGGAAGCAGCTCAGTCTTGGGAAATCACAGGGTTTTCTCACGTGTGAGAATTTAATGCTGCGCAGGAGGCTCAGGGACGAGGTGACAATGAGTCCACACAAGGCGCTCCCAGTCTGACTTGAGTAAGAGTAAACAGCTGAGACGCTCACGAGGCCTCACCCAGGTCTGTGTCATCTGGGCTGCCCTTTTGCTAAAACCTCTCCATGTGGAGCATGTATGGGAGGGTGCAAAGTAGTAACAGTTGTTTTGAAAAGTTTTGACTGTTTAGTTAAGGACAGCTCTGAAAACACAATTTGGTTTGAAATTCAAGCTGTTTCATTTCCTATTTAATCTTGTAAATTTCCTTCCCTTACAATACTTGGGCTGGAAGGGTGCCAAATTAGACCAGGAACAAATTTCCAGCAGTTTCACTTGGGGGCTTTATTTTTAGATTATATTAAGAACCTCATTAGGCTCCTGAGGGAAAAGAGTGCAAAGCACTAGCAGAGGCAAGAGAGAATAAAGGAGGTGAGGCGAACTGGCTGTTCTATGCAAAGCACTGTCAACACAGTTGGTCTGAGCTCCCTACTGCTAAGGCCAGGTGAGTGCTGGGTGCTAGGCTCTCACTTGCCCCAGGCTAGCAAGGACCGGTCAGCTTGTCAAGGAGGCATATGTCTTTATTACCATTTCCAGATGGGATGCAGAAGGGCAAGGGGAGGAGGAAGGAGCTGTGAGCTAAGTGCTCCATGCTTTTGCACAAGGTGAATGCGCTTCAAAATCTCCTGTGGACTGGCTGAAAAATGAGTGGGTGCACGACTAAATGGAGTACTAAATGTGGAATTCAAAAGTTATTAATGTATTTACATAATTTATAATTTTAAGCAATGGTCTCATAAATATAGACTACAAATGTACATATGCTAGGCAGCACACATTTGTTTTTGTTTTTTCCACCAAATACCTGGACCAAAAACCAAAAAAATCATTTCCTTTGTTCTTTCTCTCTTCCTTTTAAAGCACTGCTTATCTCAACTGACTCCAGGTAACATCTCTACACCATCACCTGGACCATGAGCGCTTACTGAGAAAGGTAATGATAAAACTAATGTGTGGTGACACATACTGGGTCGGAAGGAAACCCGAGGTGAACCAGGCCGCCGCCGCCGTGGCGTTAATTTACTGTGTATGAAAGTGCTTGAGAGATGGTGGAAACTGTTCCAGGGCCAACCGTCCCTCCACTTGTGATCATTTTCCACATCTTAAATGATGCAACTCTGACACTAGCGACAAGGACCAAGGAGATGGCCATCTCCACAGCGTTTTCCCTTAAGATCCACAAAAGTGCTCGTTTCCCTTTACAAATGATACACGACATCCTGATTACAAAAGTACCTGCAGTTCAGTCCTACCATCCATACATCAGATGCTCCTTTCAGCTAGTCAGCAGCCAAGGATGTGGTCCCTTTGCACACCAGAGTCCGCGACACAAGTCTGCAGTTACAAACACCTGCTTCAGTCTTCCAAGAGTACCCAACAGCCAGTTCCTCTGAGTCCTTTTTGCATGAAGAAGACTCCAGGGCACGAGGCGGCTGCCAATGGCAGGAACTGGCCCTCCTGCAACATCCAGGACCACCCGCTTCTTCATTAGTGTGGGGCCCCGGGTTGTCAGCAGCAGCTTCGCTTTGGCTCCGATGGCTGTCTTCGGAGTTTGAAGCCTTTGCCGCCAGACGGCGGGTTGGCATCTGTGGATGGAATTCTTCGGCCTACACCAAAGAGAGAAGAGAGGAAAGGAGAGGAGGCACAAGCTTTGATTTCCTAATCTGTTCCTTCTCATACACAATTTTGGCAACGCAACATGTCAGTTTCATTGAGGTAAGACAAGGAAGATGACAGGGACAGAGTGTGCCTATTCACAGTGACCCAGCATCACCTAACCCTGATCCTACAAGACACCCGCCACAGTGAACAAACACTGCTATGGCAGCAGAAGTCACCAGTCTTTTAGATGTCACTAGTTCTTAAACTAATATACTTCTATTCCAGGATCCAAATAAGAATAAACAGCATTTAGTAAGCTTTTTAAATACAAAAATTAGACTAAAAACATTTTCTCTTGAGCCAGTAAACATACACACCTAGGAACAAAAACAAAAGACAACCAACAAGCTTGGTTTCATGTCTCATGGCAGAAGTCATCACAGGCATGTGGACACTCCCAGATGTACTCAGCTCCTTTGCCCTCAGGATGGTCCCTCACAGAACACAGTGGGATGCTGTGTCTCTGAATGGTTGAGCATCTGCACTGTCTCTAGCGATCAACACCAATCCCCAGGATGTCAGTGTTTTGAGCAACTGTGTGTGGGGGGGACTAAGAAACTGGAATAGAGGAGCCAGGGCACTGCTCCACTCCTGAGCGTGTATCTGTCACATGCACCAAACTCCCAGTGACTACCTACTGCAATTTAGCTTTTGACAGATGCTGCCAAGTTGCTCTCAGAAGAGGCTGTGGCATTTTATCATCGACAACAATGTAGGAGAGGGACAGGCTTCACTTTACTGCTCTGTGAGGCTAATGTCAATTTTGAGAAAAGCTTCAATCACCATCCACCCACCTGGCTGACATGGCTCAAGGCTGCTTCTTGTACAAAGGCATTCCTGCCCTCCTCCTCCTGCTCTATTCTAACCCTCACATATCACAAAGCACCAAGACATCAGCATCATGCTGGACTTGTTTTCTGTGTGGCTGGCATCCTCGTACTAGACTGGGCCCTCCAATCTTGCCTGTTTTCTGCTCTGGCACCCTCTGATCTCTGTGGCATAGCATCAGGCAGAGAAAGGCTTTCTGTCTGCTTGTTTAAAGAGGGAATTAACAGACAGGAACATCTGACATCAGCAAGGCTGAGAGAAAAATTCCTGACAACCCCCTGGGTGTGGCTGCAGAATCTTGAGGGCTCTCCCCCATGGGCGGTAACCTGTGTAGACAGCACACAGTGTGACTTCCACTTGGACTGTCCAAATGTGCTGTGACACTGCTGTGAATAAATCACCAATGTAGTTAAGTCTCTCGAAGACTCTTGTTATTATGGTTTTCTCAATAAACGGAAGCTGGTACCACAGAGGCAACTGTGAAATGTGACAGAAGATTTTCAAATGTGACGAAGTGATTTAGAAGAAAGCAGGAGACAGCTTGATGGTCTGGGAATGACCAATGGTTTCTTAAGCAGGAACTATGGTGAGTATAAAGGAAAGTGAGTACAAAGGGACTCTGGGTAAGGTTAAGAAGCTCAGTCCATTGAAGGACTGGTTCAGAAATCAAAGTCAAACCTAAGGGAAGATATTTCCAACACACATAACCAACCAGGGACTGACATCCAGAGTGAAGTACAAGTCATTAGGAAGGGGGGTGGTGACTCGGCAGAGGCAGGCAAGAGATTAAGAACTCTGAAGAAGAGGATGCCAGCTACTATCCAGGTGGAAATCTGTATGCGGACAGGCGCTCAGCTTCAAGGCAGACACGGAGATTCAGACCCTGCCTCTCCCACAGACTGACAGGGAAGAAATCTTGTACACCACTGCTGTGGGCAGCAGCTGGCACAAGTACAACTTTGTAAACTGTTTGGCAGTAAAGTCACAGTGAACACATGCAAACCTAATGACCCAGCCATTTTTCTCTTGGGCACAGAGATACTGAGCAAAAAATGCATCCAGATGTTCCCCAGAGGACACAGGATGTTCATACAGCAGTCTGAAATTGCCCTAAGTTGGAAACAACTGCCCAATGTCTGTCAACAACAGAAGGGACAATTATACAGTAAACAGTATCCATTTCTTCATTTTCCAACTTTGTGATCTGACACTAACATACACTAGCATTGTGATTGCATCTTTTGCAGCTGTATGGGATGTACAGACAATTTAAACATGTGATATAGAGTAGCAGCCAGACACAGAAGAGTAAATAGGGTGGTCAGTTGGCAGAATGCCTGCTTAGCATATGTGGGTTCAATTCCCAGCACCGAACAGGCAGGGTGGTGCCAGTATATTCTAGGGTGAGAAGGGAGAGAAAGGAGGTCATCAGTCACAGAGCTCGTGTGAGGTCAGGCCGGCTACAGAAGATGGAGACAGAGAACAACAGAGGAAACAGTAAGAAAGTGCTGTGCAGTGTTTAATCTCAGCATGGGGGATGCAGAAGCAGCAGATCTCTTTGAGTTCAAGGCCATATTGGCCTACAAATAGAGTTCCAGGGCAGCCTGGGCTATATAGTGATAGCTTGTCTCAAAAAATAAAACAAGGGGGCTGGAGAGATGGCTCAGTGGTTAAGAGCATTGCCTGATCTTTCAAAGGTTCTGAGTTCAATTCCCAGCAACCACATGGTGGCTCACAACCATCTGTAATGAGGTCTGGTGCCCTCTTCTGGCCTGCGGGCATACACACAGACAGAATATTGTATACATAATAAATAAATATTTAAAAAAAATAAAAAATAAAACAAACAAAAGCACCTGAAGTCGGCTATCAGGATGGGTTACCCGTGGGGAGGCAGCAACTGTGCTTCCCGGAGTGTTGAGCACAGGCTTTGTTCTTTCTGAGACAACCTGGGAGTACCTCTGTGCTTCTGAAACTGCCCTTTCCTATATGCACGTTATGCTTCAACCCAAAGTTCGTGTCTAGGCATAAGTTACTGACAATACTCACTGAACAAAAAATAAAGATGATTTCTAACTCTGTCTGGTTTCTATCTCTGTGGCCATGTTCAATTCTTCTCAGTTACAAGTATGCACTAGGTCTTTGCAGTGCTGGCAACTGAACCTAAGGCTTTGAACATGTCAGGGAAGTCACAATCACAGCGCTGCACCCTGTTTATGTACATTCTGGCATAAGGATTTGTTGCTCGTAAACCTGTTTATTTTTAAAATTGCTATGGTACAGAGAAAGAACCCACAACAAAACCAATAGTCTCAACACACGGCACACTGTCCCGACAGACCTGGCTACCTGTTAGCTATGAGCACCATGTCTACCCCTGGAATGAAGAGAAATGCTTGAGTCTGCCATGGACTCTGAAAAGGTTTAAATTAGTGGTCAACTGAAACAATGGAACACATGCATAAAAACCCAGATCTCTGAGCATCTAACTCATCACAGTACTAGATGTGTGGATTCAGACTTGTCAATTCTCGAACTTTGGAGGCTGAGGAAGGGGACTGCTGTGAGTTCAAACCTGGGCTATAGAGTGAGACTCTGAGCCCCTGCCTCATAAAGGAAATACAAAATGAGAACAAAGCATGCCTAATCTCTAGAACCCAGGGTGACCCCAATTACTGCAATTGATTGGTCCAGCCCATGGGGGACCACTTCTGCTCCCTTTGGGCAGTCCCTGAATGGATCTGGGGGGGTCTTGCAATTCATGACTTTCACCTTCACCAAGGCCAAGAGCTCTTATAGCTTCTAGCTACTTTGGATTTCAACCTAAGGGCAGTTAATAGGTAAATGTACTATGCTTGGATGGGTGCTCCCTTCATTTGGGAGCTGACTATGCTCTGTGAAAGCAAGTTATTTAGCTTGAGGCCTGTACTGTCAGGCCTCAGCCCCCATCCCACTGCCTCAAAGAGTCCTTCATCAGGCCTCAGCTTCCAACGCTCTTCCCCAGAGGGGCTTTCTTGGACACCTTGCACACATGCTTACATCTATCTCATTGCTTTCTTCATGTCTCTTATTACTATGTGAAATGATCCTATTTATCTGGAGTTCACTGCCTGACTTGCTCAACAGAACAAGCATTCCAAGAGAGCAAGGGCTGTGTCTATCTTCTTTAGACTGGCTCCCTTGAGTCTGGAACAGTTCCCAATAAATATTTTGATGAATCTGAATGAAATGAATAAACACAGAACCAATCTGCAGAGAATCCCAAAGGCACCAGGCAGCTTTTCTCACCCACTGTCAACATGCTAACTCTCTGAAGGAGGAGAAGGGGAGTGGTCTGACCCTTCCCTTGCCAAGGACTAAGTTTGTGGGTTTTCTTACAGACAGACCATACCCACATGGCATCCCCCTTGAGCTATTTTTTTTTCTCTTCTAGAAATCTTTATTATTTTTAATCCTGTGTATATCTGTGTATAGGCATGAACAAACAAGTTCAACTGAGTTCAGAGGCTGGAAGTGTTGGGCCCCCTGGAGCAGAGTCCCAGGTGGTTGTGAGCACAGTGTGGTGCCGGGAATGCACTCAGGTCCTCTGGAAGAACAGTGTATGCTCCTCCTTGCTAAGCCGACTCTCCAGATTATTCTGTTCATTTCTGATGGCCTTGGATGAACAACGTTTACAAGAGGAAAGAGGAAAGCAGTTTTGACACTGAGAGGCATCCTTTCTGGAAAGGCACTATCTACCAAGCAACATCTCTCCAGAAACCCCACTGCAACAGAGACTCTGGCTGTCCTCATCTGCTCAAATCTCCTTTCAAGGACACAATCTCAGAGACTACTTCAAACAAGTTGGGTTCTAACCAAAAAGAAAATTCTGTTTTTGTTTGCCCTGAACAGAGGAAACCCCCAAAATGCAGGGATACTTACTAATTTCTATAAAGAGTTCATTTATGTTTATTGCATTTTTTGCGCTGGTCTCTACAAAGATGGCATGAATGGAATCAGCGTAGTCCTTAGCATCTCTCTCCATGACTTCTCTGGAAGGCAACAATTGCTAATCAGAGGGTCTGTCCCTTAAGACCTTCCCTCACCCCACCCATACAGAAGGATCATCCACGGCATGAGCCCAAACAGTCCTTCCAGTTACATGATTTTTATGACAAGGTTTTCTCCAACCCCTATATTAAAAAGCCCTCCCCCTCAACAAAACAAGGTCCCTGCTCTGGGAATCAAATGTGTGGTGCACTGAAACTACCAATAAAATGCACTTTTTGTATTCTATTACTCTGTGTTATAGCAGCCTGAGAGGCAATGATCTCAGATAATGTCATATGTGATACCACTAAGGTTTGAGTAAATTACACGCCTGTCTACATGTAATATAATTAACTCCAAATGTCTTTAGTCTTCATTTTAGCTTGAAACTTCAGGGCCAACCACATAACACAAGACATTTTTCAATGTCAAAGATAAAATAAAAGCTAGACTCTTACCATGGATGTGGCTCATTAGAAAAAGAACATGTAATCGGTATGGGAATCTCTTGTCTAATAACTCACCTGACGTCAGTAAGATCGCATTTGTTCCCAGCAATGGCAACAACAATGCTAGGGGGGCCATGCTGGCGGAGCTCTCTCACCCAGTTCTTGAGCGTTGAAAACGTCTCCTGCAACATGAAAGGTGAGTAGCTAGAGGCCTGAGCAACAAATGATGGTGTCTAAGAATAAATGAATAAAAAGTCTTACTTCTTTTGTGATGTCATAAACGATGATGGCTGCTGCTGACCCTCGATAGTACATCGGTGCCAATGCACGAAACTGCAGAGGGGAAAGAAGCAATGAAACTGCGACAGCCAGTTAAGGATGTCCTCTTAGCAGACTTTGAAGTCCATTATCCCTGCACAAAAGGTAATCTTTCTCTGAAGTCACAGAAGATGACATAATGCTTCGGAGCAAACAAACCTGTAATTACTAAAGGCCAAGACTGATGGTAGTGCTGGAATGTCCCAGAAGATAGTCTAGAAAACAGCTTTATAGGAATTGAATATGGGACTATAAACAATTGTTTCAGCTAAGAAAGCTTTTTAATTGAACTCAACATTATATTCCCCAGATTCATTTGTTTAATAGTCTTTTAAACTTTGGTTTCCCAAACTAAGGAGATAAAAACACTGCTATAGCCATAGCGGTCGAGGATACCACAGGAAGGCACATACAATTAACTAATCTGGGACCATAAGGGCTCACAGAGACTGAACGGACAACCAGGGAGACTGACCTTGGCACTCTGTATATATGTTATAGCGGTGTAGCTTGATCCTCTGTGGGAAACAGTGACAGCAGGGATTGTCTCCAACTCTTTTAATGGTTTTTGGGACCCTACTCCTCATACTGGGTCATCTTGGCCAGTCTTAACACATGGGGAGGTACTTAGTCTTACTGCAACTTGATATGCCATGTTTTATTTATACTCATAGGAGACCTGCTCTTGTCTGGATGGAGACAGAAGAGGGGGTTTGGGAGTAGGAGTGGGGTGGGGTGAGAGGGTCTGGGAGGGGAGGATGGGGAGGCTGCTGCCGGGCTGTAAAATAAATAGATGAATTAAAAAACAAAACAAACACCCCCCCCCCAGAACCCACTGCTGTAAACAGTTTTTCTAGACATGAATGCACATTTGAATTTACTAGAGTGAGTGTGCAACTTGCTTTTCTGACATCTGCATGCATATGTCTCACTGCATTCCAAGTGTCATATTGCAAGCAGTTTCCGCTTCCTCTCCCCACACACTAGAGAGGGACTTAGGGAAAGGCTTACCCTCAGAGTGAGGGTAATTCAGCAGGACATTTCCTTGGAGGAGTTTGGGATAGAAAATGTGAAGCTCTTTCCTCATTCAAATCAGGGTCTTGGCCAAATGTTCTAGTGTGGCTTCCCCCCATCAAGTGTCATGTCTTCATCTTATACCCTGACTTTGAAATCTAGTACCCAAGAGTGATACAAAGTTCCTGTACTGTATCCTGATCCCTTTGCAGTGGTTAGCTGGCAGATACTATCCTTAGAGAGCACAGGGTATACATGAGAACACATACAGCCTGCTTGTGACACTCGAATGTCTCTGAGTTCACAGTCAACCTTCTGATAAAGTAGTGATATTCTAACTGGAACATCCATGAGGGAAGACATCATGACTGCTAGGGCCTGGAATGGATCTCATGCACTACAGCATAACCAAGAGCTACAAGCCAGTTCAGTCCTTTCTGCCCGACAAACATTTAAACTGTGGACTGACTTATACAGTGAAAGAGAATGAGACAGTGGCATGTAGGTAGAACTAGGATCAAGGCCCTAGCTGCCTGGCTATGGATGTACTTGTGATAGCAACATCCTTTAAAGGGTCATTTCTTTCTCTACAGTTTTGTAAGGGGAAATTCACACCAAGAAAAGCAGATTGCAAGTCTATAATGTGTAAGCCAACAAATGTAAATCCCCTTGTACATCACAAAGACAAAGCATTTCTGTCAACACAGACAATTCCCAAGATCTCTAACCTTGATAATACTTGCCCTCAAGTCCATCTGCAGAAGGAACACAACCACAGTATTGTTTTTTTTCCCCCTTTGTGCTTATAATCTGCATAGAATACCCTTTTCTAGTCTCTTATTTTCTCTTCTCTGTGCAGAGGTGTGTACATTTCTTTAAGCACCACTGATAAGGTCTGTCACGTGGCACTTCTGCCACCTCTGCCTGCTCAGTGGGGTGCTTGGTCCTTTTACAACTAAGAACATACGCTGTGTCTGGACACAGGTCTAGGGCTTTGCTGCAAATTTGTTCAAAATTTAAAAAATGCTCATCCTTCCTTTCTTCCTTTCTCTGCAGTGACTAAGTTTTAGTACCCCTAACTGGTTTCAAATTCCTGATGTTGCCAAGGATAACCTTAAACTGCTGACATTCCCACCTCAATCTCCTGCGTGAAGGGCTCCTGGCTTATGTAGTGCTGGGAATCAAACGGTTTACTGTGCCTGGTCCCAGCCCCCTTCTCTTAGCTTTTTACTATACTTTTATGCATTATTTATTAGGTGGTTGTTCTTACAAATACGATATAAGTTTTTTTCTCAATACACTTCTAATTTAAATGTATTGAATATATGCTTCCTATAAAACATCAGAATCTTAAATGAATCTAACCTTGCCTATTAGAACCTTATATAAATTTAACCTTGTCTACTTCACCATTCTTTGGCTGCTGTTGCTAAATGCTTGAAATGCACAAACTAACTGCTGAGTGAAATAGCCAGAGTTGAGAAGAAAAAAATATGCTCTTCACCCTCTATCACCTGTACTGCTTATTCTTTCTTTCTCTCTTTTTTTCAAGACAAGGTTTCTCTGTAGCTTTGGTGCCTGACCTGGAACTAGCTCTTGTAGACCAGGCTAGCCTTGAACTCACAGAGATCCACCTGCCTCTGCCTCCTGAGTGCTGGGATTAAAGGCGTGCGCCACCACTGCTCAGTTCATTATTTATTTCTGTAGGATATGAGTGGCCACTCTGTGACTGTTACTACTGAACTCTCTGTTCCCACTTTTTCTAAGACTACTTTGATTTTGTATCTGGAAAACTATCTAGGCAGACTGACTTGTTTGCATGCCCACAGCATGCTAAAGAGTCTGTCTATTGGCCTGCCTCACTGCTTCTGTAAGAAGTTACCCCATTCTTACTGTTCTCCTGTATACAATATATCTCTGGCTATTTGAGGATTTTTCTCATTATCTTCACTTTTTGGCAGTTTGACTAGGGTCCTAGTTGTACTTAAAGATTTACTGAAACTCTTAGATTTGACAGTAGATGTCTCATTAAACACTGGAAGAGTTCAGTCATCAATTACAGAAATATTGTCTTTAACCTGTACCCCTTCTTCATTCCTTCTGGGTGCCAGCTCTGTTTTACTCGGCCAACCACATCCATAGACTGTTGAGACTTTTCTGGCTTCTCCTCCTCTGGTTCCCAAATGATCTGTTCTACCGTCCACTCAGTCACCTTTGCTTCCTGACAGTGTGGCTTTCAATCTTGGTATTTTCATCATATACTTCATGAACCTCCATTCTGCATAAGCTTCCCATCGGTAGTCAATCTGCCATTCTTTGAACCTTTGGACATACTTAAAGGTATATTTTAAATTCTATGGCTGTATATTTTCATCGCAGGGTCATCCTCTGTTCTCATTTCTCCATATATGTAACAATTACAATGGCACTCTGGCCATGTCTCCCACACTGCCGTTTTGAAGAGCGGTAACTCTTATCACTTCAGCTGATTTTGTGCACTGCTAGGATGGCTTTATGTGGGTTGGTTCCAGGACACTGTCTCTCCTCTGACTAAGATGCCTCATCAAAATGCATCACATCAAGGAGTTAATCAACACCCTCTAATGTGGCAGACTGGGTTTAAATTCCAGCGCTGCTGTAAGAAGCACCAGTGAGTCTCTTCTCAGTCTGGTCATCCTGCTGATTTCGGTTGGGTTTTGCAATGTCCTCTCTGCATATTCACTTAGACATGAGGGGGGCTTCTCAACAGACCTGACTGAGGGTTCTCTTTTCTGGGATGTGTCTCCCCAGGCTTTGTTGATCTTGTCTAGTGCCCTAGCACTCTCGGACAACATCTTTCCGTATCGTAATCTTAGAGACTTTTTTTTTTTTTTTTTGAGACAGGGTTTCTCTGTGTAACTTTGGCTGGCCTCAAACTCAGAGATCTGCCTGCCTCTGCCTCCCAAGTGCTGGGACTAAAGGCATGCGCCGCCACCACCCGGCATAAAGATATTTTCTGCTCAGCTCCTTGCTACTCTGTGGCACACTAACTGGGCGTGCCTGTGAGGCCTGGATTATGACCTTGCGATGCTGCTTCAGCCTTAGTTACTAATTGTTTGGCAGCACTTTCAAAAGGCTACTTATACAGTCTCATCCAACATTTACAAGCCAGGGTGGCCATTCTGGGTGACACTCCTGTTGCTGACTTAGCCAGGGTGGCCATTCTGGGCAACACCCCTGATACTTACTTGGAAAGTCTCCCATATTATTCTGGTGAAGAAAGAAGATGGACACATAAGAAGAGTCCAAATATGTCATCACATCTGTACCTCAAATCTGGCTCTGGATTAGGGGACAGCAAACATTCGCTGTTGAGGACCAGACAAGAAATAGCTTTAGCTCTGTGGCCCTCTGTTTTGTGTTATAGTATTATTGTGTTTTTGGACCAGGATTATTGTAGAGTAAAGCACAGACAAAAATGAACAGATAAGCATGCCCGTGTTCCAATAAAACTTTATTTATAAGAGTGGATGGTTGGTTCAACATGGCCCATGGTCTGGCAATCCCAGCTCTGGATGCTCTTAAGCTGTCCTTGTCCCAATTTAAGCACTAACAACAACTGCTTATTATGAACACTGCGAGAACTGATAAGACGTCATGCTGTTCTGACCTTTGTGGAACAGTAAGGCAGAACAAGTACAGGAAAACACAGGGTTGTAAAATGGTTGTTAGCGGTGTGGCTGAGAAGCCTTCTAGACTGTCATACAGTTAGGAGGCACTGGGGATGCTGCGCTGCACTTGTGTTGTGCATTCATGGTAGCCATCTGCTTACATGCTGTGGGGCTGTCTTGACACACCCCAGGAGTCTTAGTTAAGGGTAAGTGGGACAAACGGTGACAAGATGAGCTCACTCAAATTGCAAACAGTGGAGAAAGAACTCACAAGTGCTCAGTCTTAAGAAAATATATTTAATCATGAAAATAAGTTCATTTAATCTGGCATTTGAGAAACCCAGGTTTATC